CGGGCCTGCACCTTCCCTTGCACCCACTCATCGTGTCTTGTATTTCTCTCTGGCGGATTTCGCCGTCCCAGGTGGCGCCGAACTCTTGGCGCTACCTAGTGGTGTTCCTGGGGGAATGCCACTACGCCAATATCACCCCCACTCTCAATCTGTTCCTTTCTTGTTACCATCTTTCCAAGGGGTCGGGGGGTTATTTCCTGTCTGCCCGAGCGGGTTTTCGAGTCGGGGGGGCCCCTTCCAGCAACAAAGGGTGGAAGGGGAGGTTTTTTTATGTCAGCTGTGCAAGGGATTGGGGTTTTGGGGTTCGGTGGTCTGCGAGAGCGATCGACAACACCGTCCCGAGCCTGAGCGAAGAAGAGCGCCGGGGTATAGGGAGGCTTAAAGAGGTTCTCCCCAGTTCCCAGGCCATCCGGAATATGACCGAGCGGTGGCTGGTCGAGGCGGGTCTCAGTCTGACGCCTCGGGGTATGTTAATAGCGCCTGGTCCGGGTATTGCATGGCTCAATCTTAGTACTAACTTTTACCCTATTTCTTGCAGAAATGAACCTTCGATCCCTTCTAGGCGGTCGGGCGTCGCCGGCTTCTCCTTCAATTCCGTCAGCCGACCCGAAGCCCGACTCGAAGGACGCCCTGTTAGAGGTCGAGGTCGGGCGCCCTCGGAAGAAGGCAAAGATCACTTCCTCCAAAGGGGCTGAGGCGGGCCCTCTCCGAGCCGCAACGGGCCCTAGTCGGGAGGCGACGGGGAAAGATCCACGCCCTCCCTCCATGCGTGATCTGTGTCGACTGCCCGCGGGCGATGAGCCGTTCCTCTCGCGGGTGGTGGCCGAGATACCGACGGGGGAGGGAAGTGACCCCCTAGTCGCCCACTGGGGGGGCTTATCCCGAGGGGACAAAGTGTGGGCCGGAGGAGATCCCTCGACCGCATTTCTCCGAGGTGCTCTTCATCCCGATATGGCTCAGGACCTATATACCCTGCCTTCGGAGGCTCTGCTTGGCAAGTCCGCCAAGTCTCTAACATGGGTAAGTGCTACGCCTGCCACCTCGGGTTATTTATCTGACGGTGTTCTCCCTGACCTATCTTCCTTCTTATAGGGCCTTCATTACGCGACGGCCCTGATGGACCGGTGCGTGACGCTGGCCGAATCATTGGGGGCCTCATCAGTCGCAATGCCGAGCTTCGCCGTCAGGTCGAGGAGGTCCGAGCCGGGGCTGGCCTGGAAGCCGTGGTGACCGCTAAGAAGCGCGCGGCGGACTCGAAGACGGAGGTGGCTTGCCTCAAATCGGAGCTCCAGACATCCGAAAACTCGAATAAGGAGCTCCAAAAAATCCTGCGGACCGAGCTCCGTTTGTTGAGGGTGGAGGTAAGCACCCTTAGTCAGAAGCTGGAGGGGGTGAAGGCCGAGGCGAGAGCGGCCTCCGAAGCGCTTGCCGAGGAGGCACGCCTCCGACCCGACAAGGACAAGGAGCTTATTGTGGCGTACAAGAAGTCCGAGGGGTTCGAACTCAGGTTGACGCGGACGGGACGGGTTTCCTTTGAATATGGATACCGGATCACGACATCCCGCTTCCGCGCGCGCCACCCAGGCCTCGAGGTAGAGGAGGACCCCTTCACTCCCCACCCCGAAGATCTGGAGGTGGACATGCCCGAGGACGTCCCTTTCGACGACCGCCTGGACGCCCCATAGGAATAAAAGGGTCCTATATTTTTTTGTGGTTTTTTCCTAAGGTGTCGATCGGTCTGTAAGTCGGGGTCGAGTCCTGTAGTGTTAATTTTTCTCAAATGAAAGAACATTTTCTTTTCTCGCATATTGCCAACCTTTTGCTCTCTCACACGAAGAATTTCTTAAGGTTTTGGACATTCCATGTCCTTGGTAAAGAACAGCCATCATCGTGGTGAGCCGATACGTGCTTGGTCAAACAATCCCGACGACCCGATAGGGTCCTTCCCATTTGGGGGTGAGTTTACCGTGTGCTCGGGTTGGGTTACTTACCTCAGCCCTGCGCAGCACTAGATCATCCAGCCTGATAGGTCGAGGACGTACCTTTTTGTTGTAAATCCTGGCGACGGCTCTTTTGTATGGGAGGGCCTTCAGGTGCGCGTTGGCTCGCCTCTCCTCGAGCAAGTCCAATCCGGCTCGGAGTCCCTCGGCCGACGTCCCTTCGTCATAGGACTCCGTTCGGGGGGTGGTAATCTCCACTTCGGCGGGCAAGACGGCCTCGGCACTGAACGCTAGGCTGTATAGGGATTCTCCGTTTGCAGTTTTAGGCGTGGTCCGTAAGGACCATAAGACGCTCGGGAGTTCATCAACCCAAGACGAACGGGCCGCGAGAGTCCTTCTCCGGAGTCCGCCCAGAATGGCTCGGTTGGTGACCTCGGCCAGCTCGTTCGTTTGAGGGTGTGCGACCGAGCTGAACCTCAGCTGTATCCCGTGGCTTGCGCAAAATTCTTTGAACCGAATACTGGCGAACTGCGTCCCATTGTCCGTAATGATGACCCTGGGCAGACCAAACCGGGTGACGATGTTTTTCCACACGAATCCTTCCACCTGACGCTTCGTGATTATCGCTAGTGGTTCAGCCTCGACCCATTTGGTGAAGTAGTCTATCCCGACAATAATATATCTCTGTTGCCTCGAAGCTGGGGGAAAGGGGCCGAGAAGGTCCATTCCCCACTGCGCGAAAGGCCATGCGCAGTCCATGGGTGTAAGCGGCACCGCGGTAGCCGAGGCGTGGGGGCGTGCCTTTGCCATGCGTCGCACTTTTGCACATACAATTTTGCGTCTCGACACATAGTGGGCCAGTAGTACCCCTGACGGAGCGCCTTAAACGCCAGGGTGCGCCCACCCATGTGTTCACCGCAAATACCGTCGTGGACCTCGGCGAGAACCGGTTTCGTCTTCGAGAAGCGTCCCATGGCGCTTGAATCGTAACACCTCCTGCACCCATGTCGTTGGTGGGTCAACGGTGGTCACCGCTGCAACTGTGATGGCGCGGGTGGGGAGCTCCTCCACGTTGGGCTCGCCCTGCGAACCCAATCTCGAGGCCAGCTTTGCCAGGGCGACCGCCCGCTCGTTCTGGCGCCTGGGCACCCTGGACAATACGAAGCGGAAAAAATGAGCGGCAAGAGCTCTTACTTCCACCAGATACTTCGACATGGTGGGGTCCCGGGCCTCATACCCGTTGACGAGCTGCTCGGCAACCAGCTGCGAGTCGGTGGGGACGTGTATGTCGTCCACCTACATTTCGACGGCTAGTCTGAGCCCCGCCAATAGTGCTTCGTACTCTGCCTCGTTGTTGGTGGCCTTGAATCCGAAGCGAAGGGAGCGCTCGAACGAGCGCCCATCGAGGGTCTCTAATACCAGCCCGGCCCCCGTGCCCTTTCGACCGGACGATCCGTCCACGCAGAGGAGCCACTTCCTCTTCTCTCGTTCTGGCTCCTCGCCCTCGGGTTGAGTCAATTCCGAGATTCTAAAGACATCGCCTCATGCTCGAGTCGACCGGCAGGGTTGCCTCTCGCCTGATTTCCCAAGGGAAACACTCGGGCCTGGGGTGAACCGGGGGGTGCCGAGGTGGCTACGTGAATAGGTGCAAGTGGGTCCAATCGATGCGTAGGCTGGGCCACCGATGGGTTTGTTGTATGGGAAATGAGTGGGATTACCGTCTGCACCATTCCCACCAAGGTCCGGACCTGAAGAGCAAGGTCGTGGAAGGCTTCAGATGACACGGGCGAGGGGACGCTCGGAGCGCCGTCGGGAGGAAGCAGGCCCGGGTCGTTGAACAGATGCTAGTAGTGTTCTGAGGTCGTGGTGGGATCGTCAGCCCGTGGCTCGTTGCGCGAGGGGCGCTCGGCCGGTACCCCTGTTAAAAATGATCCCTCAACTGGGGCTTCGTCGAGGTCGGTTAGAGGATCCCTCGACATTCGGCCCTCCTTCTAGCGCCAATCTGTCGGTGTGAACAACCTTATGTCGTGGCCTCGGGGCCGACACGACTTGTGTCGGGTCCGAATGACGGGGGATCTCGTTGTTGCTGAAGTGGCCAGCCGCGGGGATCAGATCGCGTCGGGGTTCGTCGGGGCGTTCCGTAGAGCAGGCCTCCTCTGCTCTGCGTCCCGGGGGCGCTAACCTCGTCTTCTCACCTGCACACAGGTCGGGTCGAAAGCTCGGCCCGACCCCTCCGACGATCAAGTTAGTGATGTGAAGTGATCTGTTTGCGCGTGTTTTTTTCTTCCCCCTTGCCCCTCTCAGGAGCAGGGTTTTTATAGGGTGATTTACCGTGTCTGATGTGCCTGCTTGCAGGGAGCAGGTAGCGTCTGACACTGGCGCTGGCGTGGCGTGAAGGATCGAGTCTGAGCAGATCGTTAATGGGCCTCGGTCTGCGTTCTGGTTCGTTTGACCAGGTTCCGTCGGGTCGGTTGAGGTGTGAGGCGTCGTCTGGGACAGCTGACGTCTGCCCGAGTCTTGTCACCATTTATTACCCTCATCAATTTACAACCTCATCTTTACAATTTACGATCTCAACTTACAACTTCCTTCTCCTCTTTCTCTTCTCCTTTCACCCTCTTCCTCTTCCTAAAGGAACTCGTCTTGAAGGATAATATATCTGGGGGTCGATGAGCATTGACTGATCGAGGAGAGAGAAAGGGACATCGATCGACAAGAGAGAGGTAGGTTGAGGAGCAACAAGCGACAACAGAGAGCAACGAGGAGTATCAACAATGACCACAGGCATCGATTGCAGAGATATGAAAAAAAAAAAAAAAATCAAAATAAGAGAGATTATGAATAGTAAAATATTTTTATTAATATTTTAAGATATTATGAATAGTAAAGACTGTCAACAGTAAAAAGGAGATTCTAAATAGTAAACTCTATCGCGTAATTATTTCTAAAATTGGTCCAAAATGTCGAAAAATGAACCTCGATTAACTTCGAACCCACATGTCATACAACCAAAATCTGACTTAAACTATTGAACGGGATTATAATGTTCTTCTGCTTACATTAACTTGCAAATCACTTATAATTCATTCATATCGAACCAGAAAGATGATGTTGAAGTGAACAACCAAAATAAATGTAGCTCGTTAGGAACTTGCATTTCACAAGATTCTAAACTAGCTGTAAGGCTCTCTCATGAAGAGAAGAAGGCAAGATTACTCTACTCGCACATGCAAGCCAAACTGAGCAGTGAAATGATCACAATGGAAAGAAAGAGCAGGGATTGACAAGAACAACCAACCTGGATCAGTACAAACTCTGATGATCATATGTTGAATTCACTTGGACTCCAAGTCTGTCAATCAATTCGATCACTCGGTGCCATGTTTAACCTTCCTTCTCTTGATCGCCGACGCATCGTTGGTCTTCGTCTTCTCTGATTTGTTCTTGGTCCTCTTCTTCCTGTTTTGCTCATCGCCGATGACATCGAGCGCACCCTCATCTTGTTCGTGCTCATCTTCGGCACCTCGTTCTTCCTCCTCCTCCTCCTTCTCATCGTCGGAACCCTCAGTTCTGATACCGAACTGCGTCGCCCGGTAGAGGGGCAATGCCAACGACGCGGTCGCTTTCAGATGAAGGCACTTCACGTTCTTCCACTTATTCGGCACGTGCCCGACGACGCCCTCGATCGCGGCCAACACGTTGTCGATGACCTCATCCCTCCCCAGGGAAGCCCGACCCACCTTGCCCAGGCTACAAGTGCCCGGCCCCAGATGGAACAGCGTCGACCCGCATACCCGCCGGAGCTCCTCCGGCAACGAGCGGAGGGCGAGGTCGAGCGGCACGGGGGTCTTGTTTTTGCTCTTCTTCTTCTTCTTCTTCTTGCTGAAGAAGAGGTTACCGAGGAGGGAAGGGAAGAGGGGGGCGAGGCGGCTGTCGGCGAGGAAGAGGTCGTGGGAGTCCGCGAGGGAGCGGCGAGCCTCGGGGGAGCGGCAGAGGGAGCGGAGCTCGGAGAGGCCCAGAACGTTGGAAACGGGGAGTGCGAGATCGCGGACTTGGGCGCGGGCAGCGGCGGAGGAGAGGGCGGACTTGGGGCGGTCGTCGACGAGGAGGCAGGCGGAGGAGTGGGGGGAGCGGGGGAGGGGGACGCGGAAGGCGAAGGGGCGACCGCGGTGGGGGATCTTCTTGAGCGTGAGGACCAGGTAAACGAAGTCGTCTTCGGCTTCGTCGTGGAGGCGGCGCTTCGTGTTGGAGGAGCGGAGGAGCCACTTGAGAAGGGCGTCCACCGCGCGGGCGACGGCGTCCCGCCCCACCCTGGAAGCCGGGGTGGGCCGCTGCTGTGATGGCATTCTTGATCTCCTCCTCCCCGAAACCCTAACGTGCGGATTCAAACGCTCTGGTTTTGGTCGAACGCTGAGATAAAAGTGGGTGGAGTTGGCCCGGTGCACCGGTTTCTTACGGACATAACAGTAATATAAGGGGGAGCGGAGCTCCGATCTCCTTGTCGGACTTGTGCCTATGAAAGGAAGATGTCCGTTAATCGATTTTTGGAAAATGGACATTAGGTTTTGTGATCGGTTTTACAACCTTTTCGATGATTCTGTGTTTACCAGAATTCTTATACGAATTTAATTGACTCTTTCATGTGAGGATAAATGGATATGAAAATATGATCCAAAACAGCAATCGATTACCAAATAGATATATACTTTTTTTAATTTCTTAGAATGTCATAGAAACTATTTTATCTATGAATTGAAAACAGTTTTGAAATATTTTGATCATTCCTCGGGTGCTCTGCTTTGGTTGGATATTTTTACATTATAGGCTTCCAATTTTTTTTAACATTGGTTTTAGTATATATATATATATATATATATATATATATATATATGTCGTTTATGTGAGCATGGTACTAATTCTATTAAATATCTATTTTTTTAATATCTTTTTGTACGAGATATTTTGAGACTTTTGAGATTAAATTAAAAATTAAGATAAAATTTTTATGGGGGATGGCTGAATAAAAATTATGGTATTTTCATGTAATACCCACATGGCTGATTAAGATATAATATTATTTTTTAATTTTTTTACTACTATATTGGGAAGTAAGTATTTATTTTTTAGTATTTGTTCTGTCCCTTTTTTTTCTTTATAAATAAATTTAATACTTTTAAGCTAAGATGAATAAACTCTTTATCAAGGAGCTCTTTCAATAGCATCTTTTAACTCTTTCAGTTATACTAGAGTCATTCCATAAGTTACTTTCGAAATAAATTCAATTTCTCTATCTGTGACATTCTGGAGATCCTCTAGGAACACTTGAAACAATTTGCTTATATTTAATATATTCTTTTGTTTGATCTTTGATTCCATCATAATATTAATCATATTTATTAGATATTCTATGTATTTACCTTTTAAGAATCTCTATACTTTCATTATCGAAATAAAAAGGATTGATGTCTTTCCTTTAGATATAGCAAATATAAGCTTTGCTAACCCCAAAGGTTAAAAGACTATCCTCTTCTTATTTCAATTAATGAAAATATAATGTTTAGACCAACAGTTCATACCCAATATAATATTATAATCTTATATGTTCAACACTATTAGATCTACAACTAAAATTTTATCTATAATTTGAATTGGACAAGATCCACATGAATACATTATATCTATTGATAAAATAACTAATACATCACATCAAGTATTTTAGTTAATTTACCTAGTTTTCTATGCAAACTAGTAATGTAAAAGAATGTCTATTATCATAATCAATTAATGTATATAAGAAAATATCATAAATAAATATCTTACTTGAGATAAAAGTAGTCTCTACTTTTATCTTAGTCATCACAAAGACTCTCTTGGAAATTTTTTTCTGTTTTAATGAGATTGTTGTGCAGTTCATTATTAAATGTTCTAACTTTCTACATTGAAAACATAGCCCTTTTCTTTTAATGCATTGCCCCATATAATACTTCCCATGTTCAGGATAGGTGGGTCTTTGCGCCTGAGCTGATTAAGAGGATTCAAATATCTTACTCATTCTTTCTTGTGTAGGGTGTTTATGTTATCTCTTTTGTTGTCCTTGTTGCACGTGTCATTTTCTTTTACAACCCATAATTTATTACGGAAACCTATTATAAAAAATAATACCCTTCCTTTGTATCATGGTTGCAATACATCTGTTGGACTTAAAAAATTCTTTACTCGCCCTCCGTTTCCGATGCCTTTTCTGCTACTAAGGAATAAGGAATGTTTATGATAGTCATTATCATCTTTATATACCAATAAATTTCTACTCTAAGTCCTTTTAGAAATTAACCTATGCTTAAGGTATTAGTGCTAATCATGTGGGGTGCAAATTGGAATAACTCCTCAAACTTTTTGATGTAATCCATCACCGATTGGCTTCTTGTTTGGGGGTAACAAATTCTACCATTTTGGTGGATCAGTGACTTATAATGAAATATTTTTAGTAAAAGTTCTTGAATCTTTTTCAGGTCATTTGTTCAGTATCTACGATCGCCCTTCTTGCAACCCACTAGTGACAAGCATATTTTCACAATATATAAGTTGCACAAATAATTTTATCTTTACTTAGAATTCTTGTATACTAAAAAATTATTTCAATATTTCTTATCCACTCCTTGATTATTGGTGAATTTGTATCACCTTTAAAGATAAGTAGATCATTCTTTCTAAACCTCTCACTGGTTGAATCTAAATTATCATGTTCTCAAGTTACTATTAGCACCACTGGTTGAATCTAAATCATCATGTTCTCAAGTTACTATTAGCACCATCTCCTGCTAATAAATGCTCCAATTGTCTAGATTCTCTCCACAAATTTTGTTAACCTATTAATTATCATATTTTTTTTATCTTTTTGTGTAGATGCCTCTCTACCTGAATATTTTTGAAGCTACTAGCTTATCTTCTAGTTCTTATGATATCTTTCTAATTAATTCCAAATTGTTCATACACTATCAAATATAAGAGCATCATATATTAATAAAAAATAAATATAACTTAATTATTAAAACTTATAAGATAATTGAGTAGTGTGTTTTATGCTTTTGTAAATATATATAGTTTACAAGACTCATGATTCTATACTCTTAGTATCACTCATATCCTACATGTATAACTAAAATGGATGTTACTTTTCAATTCTTTTACTACTATCAATAGGAGTATAACAGAAGAGTAAATAATCTTAAAAGTAAAATATACTAATTTATTAAATAAAATAATAGAGTTCTTTTTATATATAATATTTTGACATATGTACATAATTATTATTTCTAATCAAAAGAAAAACACACTCGTATAGGCTCGTACTTTCTCACTTCCCGACCCAATCACTTGAGTAGGATATTAGTATCTTTATTTATAAAATAAGATCTATAGTGAATAATCATTAAATGTTAGCCTTTATAGTTTTATTTATGTGAGCATATATTATATCATATTATAATATTTTAAAATTATTGACCGAAGACATTTAAGGAAAAATTTCTCATCCCACGACTTCTGTAGCAAGCATAACCCTATAACATAGCATATGAAAAAATAAAGAGATAAAATTTTATGTCAAAATAATTCAAAATGCTTATATGCACATATAAGAAACATAGCAAATTCATGAACTTCTACACCCTATATCATAGCATATACATGCACTCATATATTATACATCATCGTAATATATATGTGTACCCCCAAATCATACGTCATAATATATATGCACTCTCATATCATTTGTCGTAATATATACGTATACTCTCACATCGCAAGTCATACTATATATATGCATTACACGTTATGACATATATGTACACTCCCACACTGCACGTCATAGAAAACATTTGCACTCCTACACTACACGTCATTATGAGAGCATGTATATATATATATA